TTTTTTTTTTTTTTTGTCAGTTGTGGGGCTTGAACTCTGGGCCTGGGTGCTGTCCCTCAGCTCAAAGCTGGCACTCTACCACTTGGGCCACAATGTCACCTACAGTTGAGTGGTTTATTGGAAATAAGAACTCATGGACTTTCCTGCCCTGCCTGGTTTTGAATTGTGGTCCTCAGATCTAAGCCTCATGAATAGCTAGGATTACAGGTGTGAGCCAGTGACGCCCAGTTCCTTGAATGGATTTTTAAGGGTATATAGCTGGATCTAGATATTTTTTAGGTCCATGTTCAGTTATTCCAGGCTTCTCCTGCTGCATCAACTTATAATACATTCTTTCAGTCTTTTACTGCAGGTTTTTTTGGGCTTGGGCACTGTCCCTGAGCTTCTTTTGCTCAAGGCTAGTGCTCTACTTGAGCCACAGTGCCACTTTCATCTTTTTCTGAGTAGTTATTGGAGGTAAGAGTCTCGTGGACTTTTCTGCTGGTACTAGCTTCCAATTCTGATCCTCAGATCTCATCCTCCATAGTAGTTAGGATTACAGGTGTGAACCACCAGCACCCAGCTTTTTTTTTTTAATTGTTCTTTTAGAGGTAACATACAGGGTTACCTTTACATGTCAGGTAATAAGTACATTTCCTTTTACATAGTGTCATCAGTTCCCTTATTGTCTCCCATCCTCTCTCTCCCATCTCCACCCACGAGTTGCATAGTCTATTTTCATCAATGTCCAGTGCATTCCTCTACTGCACTTTTCACCCTTTTTCGTGTGTCCTTCCCCCCAACCCCCGCTCCAAGATGTGCACAAGTACACCATAAATAAGTAAAGAATACAGAGACATAGGAAAGAAAAAAGTCATTTGTTTCCATATCTTTGAAGTTTGTTTCAGTATGTATATTATTTTATATACATATGAGGAGGAGCTTGGGTATTGCACCTTTGTGATCCTCTCCTATCTCTTTTGGTCTCACTGTATGTGAGTACCTAGAATTCTGTGTACTTTGTCACATCCCAGTGCATTTTAGATTTAACTTCTGCATTTCAGGGAGAACATGTGCCGTTTGTCTCTCTGAGTTTGGCTTACCTTATTTAACATGAATTATTCGGCTGAGTTCCTCTGCAAATGACGTTATTTTATTCTTTCTGATGGCTGTATAAATTTACATTGTATATGGGTACCACAGTTTTTGGATCCACTCATCTATTGTGGGTACCTCGGTTGCTTCCATATCTTGGCTATTGTGAATACTGTGGCAATGAGTATGGATGTGCAGGTGTCTTTATCATGATGCTTGAGGTAGATGCCAAGGAGTAGTATGACTGGGGTATAGGGGTCTATGTTTAGTTTTTTAAGGAACCTCCAGATTACTTTCCAGAGTGGTTGTACTAGTTTACATTCCCACCAGCAGTACAGTAGGGTTTCTTTTTCTCCACATCCATCAGCATTTGTTGTTAAAATGCAAAATATTTCAAGCCCCATGACCGACAAAAAAATGCAAAATATTAGTCAATGAAAGTGGGGTAAGATGGTACCTCAGGGTTATTTTGATTTGTATTTCTTTTATGGCCAGGCATGGTGAGCATTTCCTCATGTGTTTCTTTGCCGTTCTTACCTCTTCTTCTGAGAAATCTCTTCTTAGCTCCCTTGCCCATTTGGTAATTGGACTATTATTTAGGAGGGGTTAGTTTCTTGAGTTCCTTGTTTATATTAACTATTAGGCCTTTGTCTGATGTATTGCTAGTAAGGATTTTTTCCCAAGTGGTTGGCTGTCTTTCTAGTTTAGTAACTGTGTCCTTAGCTGTGCAGAAACTCCAGGGCCTCATGGATTCAAGGCAAACACTCTATCACTGAGCCACCTTCCCAGCCCTTTTTAAAAAAATTTTATTTTGTCGGTCTTGAGCTCTGGGCTTGGATGCTGTCCCTGCGCTCTTCAGCTCAAGGCAAGCGCTCTACTGCTTGAGTCATAGTGCCACTTCTGGTTTTCTAGTGGTTTATTGGAGATAAGAGTCTCACGGACTTTCCTTGCCTGGACTTTCCTTGAATCGCTATCCTCAGATCTCAGCCTCCTGAATAGCTAGGATTACAGGGGTGAGCCACCAGTACCCGGCTTCAACCCATCAATTTCTTTTTTTTTGTTTGTTTTTTGGTCCGGTAGTGGGGCCTGAACTCTGGGCCTGGGCACTGTCCCTCAGCTCTTCAGCTCAAGGCTAGCGCTCTACCACTTGAGCCACAGCGCCAGGTTTTTTCTGCTTATGTGGTGCTGAGGAATCAAGCCCAGGGCCTCATTGCGTGCAAGGCAAGCACTCTACCACTGAGCCACCTTCCCAGGCCCTATCACTGCTTTTTATTAGTTATTTTGGAGATGGAGTATCTCAGACATTTCTACCCAGGCTGGCTAAAAACAAGATGGGTCTCAGCCTATCTTGAGTAGATAGGATTAAAAGCTTGAACAACAAGCAACAGGCTGCCTTAAAACAACTTTTTTTTTTTTTTGTCGGTCGTGGGGCTTGAACTCTGGGCCTGGGCGCTGTCCCTCAGCTCTTCAGCTCAAGGTGAGCACTCTACCACTTGAGCTACAGCACCACTTCCGGTTTTTTTCTGGTGGTTTATTGGAGATAGGAGTCTCACGGTCTCTCCTGCCCGGGCTGGCTTTGAACCACGATCCTCAGATCTCAGCCTCCTGAGTAGCTAGG